TTCAATTTTTTTTATTAAACTTCAATGGTTTTTACGTAAAAAAGGTTCTTAACACATTTAATTAATTTTTAAAAATAAGTGAGTTATAATAAAATGAAAAAAAAATGTCAAGAAATTTGCAATGCAAATATCTTGAAAAATAATAAAAATATTTAATTAAAATTTGGTATAGTTGTTTAGGACCCAAAATACTATTAATAAGCAAAATATAAAAAAAATCTGAGACATGAACCTTAACTCTCCTGCGAAATGACCCAATAGACAAAAGAAAGAGAGATATTGTTTGAAATAATAAAAAAGGGTGTAAGATTTAAAACTAAAAATTCTAATAACATTTATTTATTTTACTTATAAAAATTATTTAATTCACAATTAAAAGAAAAAATTTTCTTTTTTTTTTAAATAAATTTTTTGAATGCATCATTGACATAATAAAGTAAATATATATGAAAAGTCGAGGCGGACGCGCTATATACTCATTACGTGCCAGGAATACGAAATTGTCTCATTTCCGGCTTTTTTTCTTCTTCTATATACATTCATGTATATGTGATAAAAAGAACTCACTAAAAAATGGATATTTTCCGCTCTAAAATAAATGTGTAAATAATTGTATTTACGAATGAAATGATCTCTTGGGGAATTTAAACATAATATAGTGTGCGTACTTTATAGACTGCGTTTCGGATTAATATAGAAAAAAAATAATGTACGCGTATTATATGAAAGACCTTCTAAAACAATTTGAGGGAATGAATATATTTCCTATAGAGAGCATTTTATTAATTTAATAATGATTTTTTTACTCGGTGGAATATTTTTTTTCATATGATAAATGACAATTCTGATAAAGGAAAATTTAATTAAACAATTTAAATTTTTGTAGAAAAATGAAAATATTTGAATAAATGTTTATATTTTGGAAATATAAATTTTTTGGATAAATTTGAAAAAGCTTGTCCCGTTTATGAATAAATAAATAAATTTGAATGTATTTTTATTGTTTTCTTTTAATTTTTAATATTTATCATTAAATATACAGTAAAGTGTAAAAAAAGAAACATAAAAATTTATCCAAAATTTTTTATTCCTGTTAAAAATTAAAGTATAATATAATTAATAATAATAATAATAATAATAATAAAGTAAAATATTTCGGAAAGATATTAAATTTTGCCTAATTTTTAAAGAGTTGTTTGTATTTTTTTTATACCTATAGTGATTTTTTATTCCATTCGGAAATAAAAGTTACCTTCACGCAATATAATTGAAAGCAGGAAGGAAATTAATGAAATTGACTTATGTTAATGTTTCAATTGGGAAAATATTTTTTTTCTATTCAAACAATTATTTAAAAAGTAAATTTCCGAAAACCTTAAGTAGATATTTTGATATCATTATGATTAGGAAAAACACTGACAGCACATGTGTGACAACTAAATAAATTGAATCACCAAGGTTAACTATTATAATTTTTGTTTCTAGTTTTCTACTTACATTTTTCTATTTTATTTCTTTTATTATATTATGCATATATACTTACATACTTATTTCGAAGGTAAATTTTTTCTAAATCAATTTTTCAGATTTTTCAAAAATATTTTATTTAAAAAAAAATAATAGCAATAATATCAATTTTTTCAAACTACGATTTTTTCGTATATTTTATTCAAAATGAAAAATAGAAATAAAAATACTTTTTTGATTATTAAAAATCACTATTTTTGTAATAATTGAAACAAAAAAAGTAAAGAAGAAGAAACTTTCTCTCAAAATGAAGAAATAATAAGAATGATATTTTTTTTATTTTATAAATGAAACTTTTTTTCGAACAGGCGATAAAAAATACCTATGCATTTTTATAATACTTGGAAAAAATTCAAATTAAATTTAATTTTATATTACGTAACTAAATATAGAATTTAAAATTATAATTTTTGGTTGTTTAATGATTGATAAATAATGCTTAAATTATAGATGAAAATTTTTTACTTCTGTTTGACTTTATATAATATTATAATATTATTTTTTTGAATTATAAGACTGCTTTTAATATATATAGGAGCAATATGAAGATCGAAAAAAAACCTTCAAAAACTTCCGGTATTTAAATAGCATTTTCTATTCAATAATTTAAAAATATTTTTCTTCTAATCACATTTTTACACATTTATATTCATATCAGCTTTTTATTGTCGAAAAAAAATATTAATTTCATTATAATCAAAATCGAAAAATTGGTCCAATTAAATTTTAAAACATACAAAGTTTTATTTTATTTCAATAATAATAATTGTTTATTTATTTATACATATATAGATATATACATTTTCCGCATTTTCCAGAATTTATTTAATTATTATTAATAAATAAATAAAATAAATAATAATAACAATAATGAAAATGAAAAGTAAAAAAATTTACCCAATAAAATATTAACAATAAATTTTATTTAATTTCACTATAATAATAATTGTTAACAAATAAATAAATTAATAAATAAAATAAGTAATAATAATAACATTATAAATAATAATAATTATTATTACTATTTGTTTTCAATTGATCTTTAAAAATATAAAAATAATTTATTAACTTTATCAATAAATAATTATTGTGAATCAAAAAATTGGTTGGATTTTTCCAATTTTTAGTTTTTAGCGAAATGTTTTCAAAAATTCACATTTTTATCTTACAATACTTCTATTGAATTTTTAATTCTTCTTTTTATTCATAATTTTGGCGTGTAGTTTTAAATTTAGAAAAACATTTATTTGATTTTCATTTGCAATTTGTATTTATTTTTTGAGATTCAATTTTTTTTTCATTTTTGTGGGTCAATTTTCACGGTATCCGATTTCTGAAAAACTTTTTTAAATAACAAGTGAGTTTATAAAAAAAAGTTTGTTTTTCCTTTACTATTGAAAAATGCATCGTATGGCAAATAAATCTGCACAAATAAAAAAAAATTTCATTTCTATTATTTTTTTATCTGATGAATTTATAGTTTCGATGTAATGTTTTATTCTCTGCATTAAAAAAACACACACACAGAGAGAGAGAAATATTTGTTTAATTTGTTTAAAAAATATTACATAATTTCATTTTTTTTTTAATAATTTTTTATTTTTATAAAATTTTATTTAATTTTTATTTATTGAAAATGACACATACGTGAAAATTATTTAATAATTGGGATTTATACAGAATAATTATTTAATGACAACAAAATATAAAGTACATTTTAGTAAATAAATAAAAATAGAAGATTAAAATAAAAAAGGGAGTAAAAAATAAAAATAAGAGTAAAAATGTAAAAAATCAAGTATAAAAAATAGAAATGAATAAAATAAATAAAAAAATTGTTTTTAACTATTAAAAATAAATATTTTTGTATAAAAAATTGAAACAAACAAAATGAATGTAAACAAGAAGAAACTTTCTCTGGATAGTTTGGAATTCCCGCAATTTTTTTTTTCTTTTTTTTTTAATTCACATTAATGCAAAATGCTAAATTGTTAAAAGAAGAGTTGAGACTTTAAAGTTAAAATGCGGTGCGTATATAATACACACAAAACCGTCTCTGCAGTGAATCAAGTTTTCCTTGAACCTTGCGCCTGGCGCGAGAACGTATTATAATTAATAATTCGTCGTCGTATATTGAACGCATAACTCGTAACAAACTTTCATTTACTTTATATCATTTTAATTTTTAATCATTAAAAAAAAATTCTCCCAAATTGAAATCCCTTCTCACTGAATTTGAACTAATTATTTCACTTGTGCATTAAGACATGAAATAAATAAAAACATGCGTATAAATATTAAAATTAAGAATAATTATAAATTATTAAAAAATTAATAAAAAAATATTTACAAATGTTTAAATAATTTGACATTATTAAAAAAAATTGATTTAAAATTTACTAAAAATTGATTTAAAAATTACTAAAAATGTATTAAAAAATAATTTAAAAATTATTTAAAAATTGTTAAAGACCTATTAAAAAAGTTATTGAAAAAGTATTAAAAAAGTATTGAAAATGTATTGAAAATCTATTAGAAAATCATTTAAAAATTATTTAAAAAAAGTTTCTTTTTCTAAACAAAGAAAAATTTTATTTAATTATTAAACTAAGTAATTATCGTTTAAAATTATATAGTTGTAATTATAAAAGAAACAAAATCGTTTCTAGTTAAATAGATAATTCAATTACAACAACAATAGATAATTACATTATTAAAATAATTAATTTATTTATTATTGGAATAGATAATTGAGTTATTGCGCAAAAACTACCTATTTTAATTAACATAATTATGTAATTTATTAATAATTAGATAATGTGTTAATTATTAAAACGATTAAAACTGTATTTTGCAGTCACAATCTTTTTTATTTACAGTTAAAAAAAATTTTGATCTTATTTAAAATTTGTTTTAAAAAAATATATCTAGGGCATGTCATAATATTATGAGAATAATTAGTTAAATAAGGCATGAAAAAAGTATTTATTCAAAATTGAGATATTTACTTTCAAAAGATTTTTTCGTCTTAAATTTTAATTAAGACAATTTCAAAAAAGTTATGAAAATTTTTTTTATACAAAATTTTTCTTTATATTTTATAATGTAATGTTTATAAATAATTAATTTACAAATATTCAAAATGATAAAATGTAAATAAATAAAGAAAAGAAAGAAAAATTAAAGTATTAAGAAAGAATGAAAAAAGAATAATTAAGAAAATAGAGAATAAAGAAAAAGGAATGATTAAGAAAATAGAGAATAAAGAAAAAAGAATAATTAAGAAAGTAGGAGAATAAAGAAAAAAGAATAATTATGAAAATGGAGAATATAAAGAAAAAATAGGTAATAATTTAAAAAATAAAGAAATAAAGAAAAGAAAAAGAAAAAATTTAATGGAAATAATTTTTGTTGTGTATAAGTAATTAAAAATAATTAAGAGGATTGTAATTAATTATTGATACTGTTTTCAGACGGCCCTGAGTAATTTGGAGGAAATGCAGCACAATTCAATGTCCTATCGAAATAATGAGAGGGGAAGAAGTATGGGTGTTGGTCCAGTGAGACCGCGACCGATGGAGAAGAGGCACGACACTTCACCTTATAATTATTTATCACCACCACCATCTGACACGTGGCGAAGAACTAATTCCGATTCTGCCCTGCATCAAAGTGCCAATGAGGCCTGCCATTCATCGTCATCGATGCCTCATCGTCGAGGTAGCGATGCATGTCGGTTTCAAATTTTTTCTCTTTAATAATCTTTGTAGACAAAATTTAGAGAATATCAATGCATGAAATATTCATCTCTCATTTTTACATTCTGCGATAATATTCATTCTGTTCGTCGAAAAGAAAATCAATTTTTTTTTATTCTGGAATCAAACAATTTTTCAGAAATTCAGTTTTATTTTGTTGAATAAATACAAACAGAATTCTGTTTGAATTTTTTTTTTTTTTTTTTTTGCATTTTTTGTTCATTCTGTTTGTACATTATTTTATTAACTAGCAAATGTTACGCGCGGAACGTGATACTCAATTTATTATTATTTTGCAAATTATAAAATTTTTTATTTTCAAATATGAATTTTTGAATAACTTCAGATTCAAACTTTAAAAAAATTCAATTATTAACTAATTTACTATTTAATTATTCTTGTTTATTAATTTCAAAAATTTTAATAAAATTCTTCACAAGAATTCAATTATTTTCAAAAATTTTAATAAAATTCTTCGTAAGAATTCAATTATTTTCTAAAATTCTAATAAATTCTTCAAATAATTCAATTATATTTATTAATAATAAAATTCTTATCATAAATTCAAATATTTTCTAAAATTTTAATAAATCCTACGAATAATTCAATTATATTTATAAATAGTAAAATTCTTATCAAAAATTCAATTATATTCAAAACAATTCCACGAAAGAATTCAATTTTAAAAAAAAATTTTAATAATATTTTTCGAAAAAATTCAATTGCTTTATAAAATTTTAATAAATAATTTTGTTTAATTTCAATTTTTAACAAACACGATTATTTTAAAACGTGAAACAAATTGTTCATAAAAATCAATTATTTTTAAAAATTTTAATTAAAATTATTAAAGAAACTCCATTATCTAAAAAAAAAAAAAATTCAAAGAAATTCTTCAAAAAAATTTCCTAATTAGAATTTTTAAAAGTTTTAACAAAATTCTTCTTGAGAATTCAATTATTTTGCTAAATAATAAAATTCTTCAAAGGAATTCTATTATTATCAAATTTTTTGATAAAATTCTTTGCAATAATTCGATGATTTTCAATACATTAATTTTAAAATTGAAAATATTTAAAAAGAAAAGTTATTAAAAAAAAGTTAAGAAACAAAAATGCAAACAACTATAACTTCTAACTGCGAACAGATTACCGGAGATTTGTATTTTATTTTATTACTTCTTTTATTCTATTTCACAAATTTATTTATTTTATTCGATTTAATTTTTATTTGTTTTACTAATTTATCTGTATTTTATTTTTTTTTATTTTATTTAATTCACTTTTACTTTTCAAAGTTTCACTTTTTATTATTTATTTTATTTTAATTATAATATTTTTATTGTTGATATTTGTGCAACTGAGCCCTTGATAAATTCAATCAAATTTTTCCTTTGTTGTCTCAAAAAGAAAATTTAAAAATTAAATTCACTTTTAATATAATTGTGTGAAAAGAATAAATTTCAACTGATAAGTTTTGTCGAGTTTTCCTTGGAATTAAAACTATTTGGTTATGTCCAATATTTAGATACTTAAAAGATAAAGATTTCGTATTTAAACAAAAAAATGTTATACTCAAAATAAAAAAATATTTTATTACATTAAATTAATTTTATATTTAAAATAAAATAATATTATAAAAAAATTTTAATTTTAAATAAAATATTTTATTAAATTAAATTAATTTTCTTTTTAAAATAAAATAAATAGTACGCGACAGAGGACAGAAAAATAAATAAACTTTTCAAGCAATTGGTAAAAAATTTCAATTAATTCAAGTTTTTTCTCTTGTTTTTCTTTTTTTTTTTTGCAGAGTTAAAAAGAAATGGTCAAGTTAATGGAATCCTGAAATTAAATTCGAAGGAACGAATTTTCATTTAAACTCAGCATTCTATGTTGTGAAGACATATATAGAGAGTACGAATAATATAATGGAATGAGTTATAAAGAACAACATGATTTAGTGAAAAAACTGTAAAAGAAAGAAAGACTGCCGTGGAAGAATCATAAATTTCAGTTTTAGAGAACCCTTTTTGAAGAGCCAAGGGATTTTACAGACAGATTTTTCCTCGGCAAACCTTTCACGTTATATGGAAATTCTTTTTTCTCCATCTTTCACAAAAGAAAAAAGAAAAAAAAAATAATAATCTGACCATTTCTCTCCGTAGGTTTTTATTCCTGCACTTTTTTTCTCATAGTTAAAGAAGAAAGAAGGCAAACTTTTTTTTAAATTGAATATTATACTGGAAAGTTGTTTGAATTCAGTGGAATTTAGTTTGTTAATTGGTTTCTCAATTTTCAAAATATCCAAGAACATTTTTTTACCTCTTTTAATTTTTTATTCCGCATTTTTTCTTCTTACTCTAAGAAGCTTATAAAGAATTAAGAATATTGAGAAACTAATTTTTTGATTCTCCCGACTGAAATTGGAAGTTAATGTTTTAATTTTCTTTTTTTAATTTGAAAGTGAGTAAATTGAAGTTTGATGACATCGAGAGACTTTAAGGAACAATGCTCAACATTTTGTTCTTTGAAAATAGAATTGTTACAAGGGAATTGAAGACAATCTTGAATTTCTAGTCTTTGAAAACAAAGAGGAAATTGTGAGCGAAGTTTAACGAACTTTTCAAATACAGCTCATTCATTATGTGTATATTAAGTTGTAAATAGTCAATTCACCTTTTACTCTTAACCAATATATTGTAATATATAGTTTACAATTATATAAAGAAAATAGACAAGAGAAAAAAAATGCTTTCCTCGTCCTCTTATCGCTAGTATAATTTATCTTCTATCAGTGAAACGAATTGCCTTTTCCGCATTCGATAATTTAATTTCTACTTCCAATTTCTTGAGAGTATCGAATAATTTTTTTTTCTTTGATTTTTTTTCTTCATAAAAACAAAATAAATTCCTTTTCTATTTTTTCCCATTTTCTTCTTTCAATAATTTTTGTTTAATTTTCAGTAATGAATTAAAACTAAATAAATTCCTTTTCATTTTTTTTTAATTTTCTTCTTTCAATAATTTTTTTTTAATTTTCAGTAATAAATTAAAACTAAATAAATTTCTTTTTATTTTTTTCCATTTTCTTCTTTCAATAATTTTTTTAATTTTCAGTAATAAATAGAAACTAAATAAATTCTTTTTCTATTTTTTCCATTTTCTTCTTTCAATAATTTTTTTAATTTTCAGTAATATTTATTACTGAAAATTAAAAAAAATTAAAATATAAAAATATAAATTAAAAAATAAATAGAAAACTAAATAAATTCCTTTTCTATTTTTTCCCATTTTCTTCTTTCAACAATTTTTTTTTTTAATTTTCAATAAGTTTTCAATTAGAAGTACAAAAGATTTCTATTTTTAATAGACAAGATTAAAAAAAAGTGAAAATAATTTCTCTGTCCTGTGTCTAAATCAGTCATAATTTCCATAAATTCATTAGCATTTTTGTCTGACTTGAATCACTAAAGTCCAATTTATTTACCACACAAAACGGGAAAATTTGTAAATTACACAAAAGATTAAATTTTACGAAAAATTAGAAATTGAATTTTTTCGATTGATAAAATAAATAAATAAAATAGAAAAATAAATAAAGAAAATAGAAAAAATAAATAAAGAAAATAGAAAAAATAAATAAAGAAAATAGGAGAAATGAAGAAAAAAAATTTTTAAAATCGGTTTTAGTAGAAAAAAGTAATTTTTAATTCAACTGAACCAGAAAGTGATTAGTAATAATAAGCCTTGCTTTTAATAGAAAGTAAACTGGACTTTCGTAATCGAGAATTGATTTTTAACACACATAATTCAGGTTTTATATAATAATTTTTGTGTAAGAGAGAGAGAAAAGAAAAAATTAATTTCCAATTATTTATTGCAGATCAACATATGGTCGGAACTGGTAATGAAAATAGAGAACTTCGCGGGCTCATTGAACGACCAAGATCTTCCTGCGAAATGCCAAGGGTGCCTGGAATTAAGTACGTGATTAAAAATTATCTCTTCAGTGTATAATTTTATCGAAACGATCTATAAAATTTCAATGTGGATCTCATAAAATAAATATAATCTAGTGTTTAATTATTAACTAGGTATTAAATAACGTCCCTGAATGTTCTGAACGTTGTTCAAATGAATCGAAATTTATTTGTTTCTTCTTTAAATTAAAATTTTTTACTACAATAATTTTGCTACGTCAAAATAAAAAAAGGAAATAAATAATTAAAAAAGTTTCTAAATTTTAAGTTAAATTTTTGTTTTTAATTTTTTTAATCAGTAATTTATGAAAATATTTTTAATGAATAATATTTCGTTCATTTAAATGTTAAAAAAGTTGTAGATCATAATATTAATATAATATTGTGAATTAATTAATTTCAAATGATTAAGAATTAATTACAGGACTGCCACAGGTCGGGGATATCAGGGAAGCTTTGAAAATATTAAAAATATTTAATTTCTCATGAATTTTTTTTACTCTTCACATAAATTTAGACAGCCATGAATTTTAACATAAAACGTTAAATCTTTCTACTATTTTTGACAATAATTTTAAATTGACAAAATGTGAAGTTGAATTTATTTCAAAAAATGTAATTCTTCAGGAACTTTCATAAAATTATTTATTTATAAATTATATAGTGAATAATTTTACTTTAAAATTAAAAAAATAATTAAAATTTATAATTATTTATTTATAAATTATTTATCGAATAATTTTACTTGAAAATTCAAAGAATAATTGAAATTTGTAATTATTTATTTTAATACTTGAATAATTTTACTTGAAAATAAAAAAAATTATTGAATTTTATAAATATTTATTTATAAATTGGTTTTTAAATACTTAATTTTACTTAAAAACTCAAAAAAAAACTAGCAAATGTTATGCGCGGATCGTGATATTCAATTTATTATTATTATGCAAAATATAAAAATTTTTTTATTTTCAAATATGAATTTTTGAATAATTTCAGATTCAAACTTTAAAAAAATTCAATTACTTTCATAAATAATAACATTCATCGTAAGAATTCAAGTATTTTTATAAATAGTAAATTTTTTTTGTAAAAATTCAATTATTTTTAAACAAAATTTTAATAACATTTCACGAACGAATACAATTACTTTCTAAAATTTTAATAAATCCTTCAAAACAATTCAATTATTTTTTTAAAATAGTAAAATCTTTGCAAAAATTCAATGATTTTCAAGAAAATTTCACGAAAGAATTCAATTTTTTCTTTTTAATTCGTTGTTAGAATCATTTTCTTCTGTGTCTAATTATTTTTAGACTGAATCAGAATTTTTTTTAAGTTCAGGCTTCAGGGAAAAAGTCAAAATTCTATCTTTCAAGCAAAAATTTTATAAAAATAAGAGAATAGTCGCACTGAAAAACAGAGTCAAATTTTTGTGGTATTCTTGAGAATTAATAATTAATTAATTGTATAAATTAAAATTTTGAATTATATTTAATAATTATTGCAATACATTGAATATTATTTTACTGATTTTAATTTGAAAATTCTTTTCAGTATTTATCCGAGTGCACAACCTCCGGGGCAACAAATTCCAATAAGCAACAATACAGGATCGTTGCCCGACTTGAGTAACGTCCACTTTGCGTCTCCTCTTCATACACCTTTGGACCAGGAGGAACACTCGAGTGGCGGTTCGCCCTACAGCAATGTAAGCTTCACAATTAGCTTTCTGCTCTGTTTTTTTTTTATTTTTCACCTGCTCACTTTCTATGAGGCTCCCTATATTTCTTTTTTCTTTTTTTTAAACTAGCTTTGTTTCTCTTCTAACCAAGACGTGAGACTACATTTTTTGCCATTTTCTCTTTTTCTGAACGAATAATAATTCAATTTTTCTTTTATCACCGTTTTACTTAATAAATAATGAATTTTCTATTTTTATTAACTAATTCAGTGTTTTTTGAAGAGTCTTAATATTATCAAGTTAATAACGTTTAACGATTGCGAGAAAAAAATATTTTCCTTGACGACGAAAGTAAAAAAATCTTTTGTTTACAAATTTTATTGATGAAAAAATTATTGGAAATATTTTTTATGTTAGAATTGTAATAGAAAAATATTTTTTTTTTTATAAATCGTTGATTATAAACGTTGCGAACTTTTTTTTTGTTTTTATTAGATATTTATTTTGAAAGTATTTATTTCGAAAGAAAAGTAGAAAAATGTCAAAGAGAAGTGAAGGCGAACAAATTAATTGAATTTGCAGATATGTTAAATATTGATTTAAGTTTTATATAGATTAGATATAAAGAAAATAAATTTAGGAAGCTTTACTTTTTAATGAATTGAAATATTAATTTCCGTTTTTTTTTTTTTTGAGAATCGTAAAACTGATTAAAGAAAAAAGGAAAGAAACCAATGATAAGCATTTTGATTGAACAAGTGTCTTAAAAAAAATGTTCCAATATTTCCGACATGGCATTCATATATATTTTTATAATATCGATAAAAAATGAAATACTTCTTTTTAGATTATGAATAAATTTTTCTCCTATATTGAAAACTCTTAAAGAGAAACGATTCAGATGCAAATCAGTGTTTCGCTCACGAGATATTTTTTTTATTCCATCGATCGGCGGGTTGATTTTGATGATAGATTTTTAAAAAATAGTATAATTTCTTTTTACTCTTGGATTGTTTTATAACGGAGGAGAAAATTCTATTGTTTGCCAAGAGCATTTTTTGTTTGTTTTCTATTCTGTTGAAAATAATTTTTCTACGTTTGAGAATTATTTTTTTAATTATGCAACGTTTGTTTTTTTAGTAGCGTCGAAAATTTTACGAACTCACTGCGGAGAAAATAAAAGACTTTCTTTTAATTACTTTATCTTTAAATATTTTAGATTCGTGTCTGAAAGTAGAAAATACGTATAATTAAATTTTTTTTTTATTTTTCTAACATTTCCTCCCCTCTTACACACATTGAATAATACGTGATAAGTGAACTTACTTGAGAAAGTTGTTTCCACTTTCCAATATATTGGTTTTATTATTTAAAAAAAAGTTCTTTATAGTTTATAGTAGTTGACCTTTCTATTCTCGGGAATTTTTTTTTCGAAATTATTAGCACATTTTCTATTTTTATTTTTTCTCTTTGTGTCAGGAGAAATCGAGCAATTATGAAAGAAGATAATTTTTTTTTAAGTAAATGAAAGATATTTTTTGTTGGTAAAAATAAAAATAAATTTTTTTGCGTGGTGGGTGGGGAAAATAATTTTTTTTTCTGGAAAAAAGTAGGAGCTGTTCTGAAATAGTGTATATGCAATATTGCAGAGTCCTCAAACGAGCAGTCCTACAAATTTGTCGCCAACCAGCTTGACGCAAGCTGGGAGGCTGTCCTTTTCACAGGAACACAGCCCGCCAAGCATCCAAGTAAATATCCTTGCGATCCTCTTAAATAGTCTACCGCCATGTTGCTATCCGATACGAAATATCACGAGAGACCATAAAAAAGAAATTAATATTTCTGACATTTCTCTAACAAAAAAAAATTTTTTTCTCTAAAAAAAAATTAATTTTTATTCAATTTTTTGAAATTTATTGAAATTGAAATTTATTTCTATGATTTCTTTATTTTTCTTACTATTTTTATTCAATTGATAGTTAATTTTATCCAAATAAAATTAATTATGAAAAATTGTTAATGTTTAAATGACAAATTAAATAACAAATTTCGACTAATTTTTTATTTATATGTATGTAGAAGTAAAATTTTTTTTTGAAATAAATAAATTAGACAATTGTAATATAAATATTAATAATTAAAATTGATTGTATTTGTTAAAGGAGTAAATTAATTATTTATTTTTGTAATTTGTCTATATTTGTATTTAATTTTGTAATTAATTAACAAAGTTGAAAATTAAACAAAATAATATTTAATTTATAAAATACTTAATTACTTAAAATAGTCATAAAAATATACAGAATAATGAATAATTAATTTATAAAACACGAAATTAATTAAAATAGTCATAAATTAAACAAACTAATTATTAATAATTAATTAAAATAATTGCAAATGATTTAATTTGTAAATTAACTGAATATTAATTAATTAATTAATTAATTAATTAATTTGCAAAATTTAATTAACTGAAATAATTAATTGACTACATAATTAATTAATTAATTATTTAATTTGAATAATAGTTAAATAATTAATTTTAATAACAGTTATATAATTAATTTGAATAATAATTAAATAATTAAATTACATAATAATTAAATTAATGATTTAATTTCCAAATTAAGTGAAAATAATTATTTTGGAAAATAAATTAGTTTGCGGAAATAATTTTTTTTCTTAATTAAATAGCAAAAAAAAAATAATTTAAATTGAAAAAGAGCTGATCTATTTCTCTCTCTCTCTCTCTCTTCGTTTGTATATTTAGATTGGAAGAATTTTTTTTTCTAAAAGGGCCACTCACGTGTTTTCGTATCGGATCGCAGGGCGCGCTTGTAAAGCGAGGTAAATGAAAAAGCGTTAAGAGAATACAAAGTCTCGTAGTTAAATCTTTTAACGAGATACTTGGCGAACTTGAAGGATTCATGGGAATTAAATTTGTCCTCAAAATAGAAACTTTAAATAATACTTTTTAATTTATTTTTTAATCCACTTTTTTTTGTGTGTATTTATTCTCAAAAGAGAAGAGAAAAAAAAATTATCGAACAAGAAATAAATAATATATTTTTTATTTTAAAATATATTTGCAAAATTTATTTTTTATTTAAAAATACATATTTTAAATAATAAATTTGTTTTTTAAATAAAATTGTTATATTAATATTAAAAAAAATATATTTATTTTTTATTCATAAAAGAATTATAATGAAAACAGTAAATTTTCTCTACAATATTTTTTTGCAAAGATTTTTTTTTATAAATAAATTGGAAAAATTTTTGTATAAATTTTAATTATTTAAAAATTTTCTTTTCCATTGTGTGTATAAAAATAAAATGAAAAAAAATTTGCCTTGCTTTACGTTTGTGACGTCCGGTAGTTCGTTATAAAGTAGAACTACTGTGTAGCTGCATGAGACGGACTACTTTTACCTCTCTCAATTTATTATTTATAAAACCTACTAATTTTAGCATTTTCATATTTTTTTGTTTTTCAATGTTATGAAAAAAAATAATAATACCTAATAAAGTTTAAATTCACTCCTTCTTTCTCTTTTCGAACCAAGGAACAAATAAAAAAAGGAACAAAAATTAATTATTAAAAAATGAAAATGAAATTTATAATGATTAATTATGATAAAAAAAATTAAAAATCAATTTATAATTTTATAATTAATTATTATAATATTGCAGTCATGAAAGTAAATTTTTTTTATTTCTGCTTTTGTGAATTTTAATTCGCTATTTCTAATTCAACTCAGTTTGTATAACTATAAAGAGAATTTTTTTTTTCAAAAAAGAAAAAATTGTTATTTATTCTAATAATATGCTGGAGAGAGTGGTTTTTTTAAAATAAAAAATTGAGAGATGAGGATAGCAAGAACGAATTGTTAAATCTGCTTGATAAATTTAATTGAAAGAAAAGCTTGTGCAGTTCTAGACTGTGAGTGTTATATATACCTATAGATAAATAATTAATTAAGTTTCTAATTGTATAATAATTTTTCACTAATATCATTATACTGATTATTGATTAATTAATATATTTATAACCATATACATGAAAATTAGGAAAAATCCATATTTTATGTTACCTGCTTCAGATAATTTTTTTTTTTTTTTTTTTTAATCAACGACAATTTTAGTTAATTGTAGATTTAAGTTCCCCATATAAATTCAACCTCACTTACCTATATAAATAGCATTGTATTTAATTATATTAAACAATTAATAATAGATTTCATTTTTAAATATCCATTTTTCATGCAAAGTAAAATTTACATTTTTTATAAAAATTTGCACTTTCAGTTTTCAACGTTTAAATGAACGAATTTTTTTCTATTTAAATATTTTCAGAAATTACTATAGAATAAATTTGAAAATAAAATAAATTCAACATTTGTAGAAAAAAAAATTAATTTTCAAAATTAACAAAAAAATAGTTTCTAACAAAAGACAAATTTTAATGATTATATAAAAAAAATCGTCGTTCATTTGAATTGAACTAGAGAGGAATTTTGTTGTTAATTTAGAACATTAATTAATTTTCTAAATTCTAAATTAATTAATTTTCTAACCTAATATATTTTTTAACGTAATTCAAATTTTATATGAAATATATAAAAAAAATCGTTGTTGAATTAATTTTCTTAATTAACGTAAAAAAATATTTTCTAACAAGAGTCAAATTTTAATAATTTTAATAAAATATAAAAAAATCGTCTTTTATTTGAACGTTATATAATAAAATTATGAAATAAATTAATAATACTTTTAATATATCCAAGCGAGAAAAAATGGAAATTCAAAAATGAAAAAATGTTGATGTATTTTCTGATATTTGTTTAGTAGCACAATGTTTGTACCTTGTTATCGCTTTTGATTTTTGTGCTTAGTGGCTGGTTATTATTATTATTTTTTATAATTTGGTTCCATTTTTATTTTTATTTTGCCTTCGTTGTAGCGGTTCTTTGTCTTTGTTATTTTGCAGAACCATTTATCAGTGCCTGTTAACTCTAGGTATCTTCCCACATTTAAGGTCAGTAGACACCAACATTTTTTTTTCTTTAGTTTAATTTTTCAATATTGTATCATTTTTTTCTCTCTCAATTTTTTTCTTTTCATTTTTTTCTTCCTTTTCCTATATCATTTTTTTTTCTTTCTTTCTTTTTTTTTAATACACAAACGCTTATTTACCTGGCGATTGTTATAGCGTTCCGGCAAAGCTTCTTTTATTGTTTTTTTGCTTGGACTGTGCAAATCAAAAAAAAAAATGTATATTATCAAAGCAAAATTTTATTCACTGTGTGTTGCACTTTTTTTTAAATGTCAATATTCTTTATTAATTCACAAAACTCGAATGGAAGGAAATTCACTAATTTTGATTAATACTGTGTTTATGGATAATAATTATTAATTTCCTTAAATTGATTATTAGTTAGTTAATTATTACAGTGTTCCATTTTTTATTATAGTTTCTTTCTTTTATTAGTTATAAATTATAGAATCTGTAAATTGTAGAAATCGTCTCTAAACTGTGTAATTTATCATTTATTTGAATTTGATTGATTCGATTGATTACTGAATAATAAATTTATTAATTTTACATTAATTAACAGTTTTATTTGATTAATGGTTCTAAAGCATTTTTTTTTAATGTTTAAAGTTTTATTACTGATTTGTAATAAATTTTTGATTAATTATTTAATTTTTGATTATCTATTTAATTTTTTATTAATTATTTAATTTTTTATTAATTAATTAATTTTTAATTAATAATAATTTTTTATTAATTAAAAAATTGTTCAGTTGATTAATAAATTACTTAATTGATGATAAATTAAACTTTTTATTTTTAAATTCTCCTGAAAAAACTAAAATTTGTAAATAACTTTTCGCTTCGTTCTTCTCTGAGTAAGTAATTATCTTAGGAATTAATTAAGAATAATAATTAATGAGAAATGAGTACATATTTTAATTTCATCGAAATGAAGTGTCGAACAGTGAATGAATATTGCTAATGATGATGATGATTATTATTATTATTAAGTATAGAATAGATGATTAGGGTAGATGATTAGACTGAAGCGTTATCAATGAAAGAAATAAAAGAGGAAAATGAAAAATTAGGTCATTACTGCTCTCTAATTATTTTTTGGTATAAAGCAGGGTGTGGCGCTGGAAAACAGCACAAGTACTTCACCGCAGGATCTTCAATCGTATTCCCAACAACCATCCCAACAAACTCAACAGACGAACCAGTGTCAAGGGCATTATATTTATCAACAACAGTCACATAGTCCTATAGCGCAGCCTCAAAGTCCAGTGAGTATTAATCAAACAAAATTTGGTAATTTTCCAAATTTTTCTCTCTCTTATTTGCATAGAAATTTTTACGATTTTTTAAATATTTTCTTTGTATTCTTTAAATTATTTTTTTAATTGCGGAAAATAATTAAAATAGAATAGTAATTAATAAAATACCTAATTTGAAATAATTCTAATTCAATTATTTTATGAATAAATTTTTTTTTAAATAAAATATTGATTGATTTTCTAATATTATTTGATTCGTTTCAATGCTAATCTATTAAAATTTAAAAAAACTATATTAATATTCGTTCTATTCCAAATGTCTGTTCGTAGTTTGACTACTACTAATTTATACCATTTTATGGCAAAAAAAATTTAGAAATTATTTTATTTAATTTTAATTTTATTTTAAAAGAATTTTTTTAATTGACAAATATATTTTTGTTAAAGAATATCATAAGTTTTTTAACTTTTATAATTTTGAATCTGAAATAATTTAATTCATTCATAGAATTTTTTTTAATAATGTTTTCAAAATAATTGAATTATTTTAAAGAATTTTATTATATCTTTTGACAGTAATTCAACTTTTTCAAGGAGAATAAAAAATAGAATAGAATAGATAGAAATAAATAAAAAGAGGAATAAAATAATTTCATTGAAATTTTTAAAAATAATTGAATTCTTTTGGGAAATTATTAAAATTTGATTGAAAATAAATGAATTTCTGAGAGAAATTTTATTTATTATAAAAATAATTGAATTCTTGTGAAGAAGTTTGTTATAATTTTTGAAAATAATTGTGAATATTTTAAAGAATTTCTTTGGATTTTTTTAAAAATAATTTTAATTGAAAATTTGATTATTGAATTTTATTAAAATGTTTAGGAAATAATTCAATTTCTTCTCTGGATTTTATTACAATTTTTGAAAATAATTGGATTCAATTAAAGAATTTTATTAGTTTTCTTGAAAATAATTTACTTCATTCAAAGAATTTTATTTTTATTTTTTTGAAAATAATTGAATTTTTTCGAAGAATACTATTATAGTTTTTGACAATATTTAAATCTTTTAAAGAATTTATTAAAGTTTTGCAACATACATAATCCATTTTGTTAATAATTGTTGTAAATAATAATTTTATTTTTAAATTTTATTAAAATTATTGGCAAAAAATTGAATTCTTTTGAAGAATTTTATTACAGTTCTAGAGAATAATAAATTTCTTTAAATTTTTTGAAAATAATCATTTTTTTAAAATTATAATTGAAAATTTTTATTGTAATTGAATTTACGAAGAAATTCTTTCAACTTTTTGAAATAATCATGATTGCTAATAATTGTAATTAAAAATTTCATTATTGAATTTCATTAAACTCTTTTTTGGAAATAATTGCATTTTTTTCATTTTTTGAAAAATAATTGGATTGTTTGAATAATTTCTTTGGATTTTATGAGAATAATGGAGTTTTTTAAATAATTGTAAATGAAAATTTTGAAAGTATGTAATTGAATTTTACAAAGAATTTTTTTTTCCTGTTTAAAAAGCAAAATGTATAATTATTTTTTAGAATAATTAAAATTTTCGTAATCAAGATTATTTTTAACTAGTAACAATTTGCGCGCGGCTAACTTCTTACTGTCTTTTTAAAATAAAATTAGCAATTTTAAAAATAATAGAATTTAAAAATTTACTAATTATTTTCATAAATGTCAAAAAAATTCTTGTCCTAATTTCAATTATTTTCAAAAAATTTTCTAATCTCAATGATTTTCAATATCTAAGATTTTAATAAAATTTCCCAAATCGAATTCAATTATTTAAAAAAATTTTTAATAAAATTGTATGTAAACATTTAATTATTTTCATAAATAATAAAATTTCACAGGAATTCAATTATTTTCATAAAAAATAATTTAAAATTCTAGAAAATAATAATTGAATTAAAATGATGAAAATAATTTTGATGAAGTTACAGTAACAATATTCTTATGATATATAAAATAATGATTTTATCTCTTGGTTATTTTTAATTATTATAAAACATGAAGAAATCGACCACTCCGAGTCTTCGACTCGGAGCAATCGATATCTTCATGATTTATAACAAATACTTTTATAAGTTGTTTAATTTAAAAAAGGTTTGAATTTAAAATATTTGAATGTCTTAATTCCTGTAGAAAATCCCGTTTCAAAAATAAGATTAAAAATAGAAATTGTGCAAATATTTTTCTTCTTTTTCTAAAACAAAATAATAAATTTTTTGTTAAAAAAATTGTGATTCATAAACAAAAATAATGCAAAATAAATAAATTTTCTATTTCTTAATCACAGTTGTTTAACAATTTTCTAATTTTGTTTAGAAGTAAAGAACAAAAATCTGCATAATTTCAATTTGACAAAACATAATATTTAACAAAATTTTAGTCTTTTAATGAAAAGAAGTGAAAAAAATTCTGATGATTTCTATTTGTCATTACAATTTTGAATTAATTATAAAATAAAAATAATTATAACATAATAAAATAATATACAATCTATACAATAAAAATATTGTGCGTAAAATTTTCACTAGTATATTAATAAATTATAATTTACGTTTCAGAAATCGTCGCAGTCGCCACAACAACCTCAGCAGGCCTCACCGCTCAATTCTTTGGGATCCTACAGGACACCCCAACCAGTTAATAGGCCATCACCTCAATCGTCGCCTAGTCTTACGCTTCAAGTAAGATTTTCGTTCAACAATTTACAATGATTAATACGTGTCTTTAAATAAATCCTCTTTTATTTATTTTTTTCGCTAAATTTATTTTTTTTCGTTTTAGGGGAGTCCTTTGAGTTATAGCAATAATCCTTCAACGCCATCGAGTCCAATGGGAGGACATATGCCACATCCAAACTTAACTTCGGATAGTCTAGATCAAAACAGCTACTATATTAATCAAGTTCACTCCGACTTTGAACAGTTCAGTATGGTTAGTATTCGAGAAAATTTATTTCTTTGCCATCAAGACAAAAAGAAAATATCTTGACCCTGAATTTTCACTGAAATGAATGAATCAATTTTTAATCGAATTTTTTTCTTTTATTTTCATGCAAATAAAGGGAATGGTAAGTGTTTCTATTTTTCGAAATCATAATTTTTATTAAATTCAGTAAGGTAACAGTAAGTTCTTTTAATAAATAAATCTATTCTAATAATAATTCTTTAAAAAGAATTCTTCTATAAAAAAAATTTCTTATTAAATAATTTTTCTAATTATTAAAATTAGTGTCTAATTATTAAAAATTTTAGAAAACAACTTGGTTTTCTTTTAATCTTTAATTTAAAGAAGTTAAATATACATTCCCAGTGGAATTTTGTCATAATTTTTCTCTCAAACGTTTTTATGAGTAGAGTTCAGAATTTCTCACATTTTAAGTGGCGCAGTCAAATTGAAACGACGTTGTTGACTTCTCGCTCCCTTTTTTTTCTTCCTGTGGTGAACTTTTAAGAATGCAAAAGAAGAGGGTAAAATGCAGACTTAAAAAATTCGGGCTCTACTTGTACGAAGCGAATTGTGAAAAATGAGAAATAAAAAAAAAGTATAAAGAAAGAAAAAAGAAATTTTTGAAAGCTTCCTCTTCTCACATGAAAATAATGAGGAACCACTCTGCAATTAGCGTTTGTTGAAGAGAGAAAAAAAAAGAAAGAGAAAGAAAATCTAAAGCCACGAGTTGTCAAAATATTTCTCTATTTTTTTTTTTAAATAAATTTTTGAAAATATTTGTTGCTAATTTCGAACGTGAATTTAAAAAAAATGTTTTTAAAAATATTGCTCTTTATTTGTTGCCTGCCTCCGTTAGGATTGGGTGCAAATGATGCAACAGCTCGCGGATTCCGGTTATGCCTTGACCACACAGCTAGAGGTGATGAGATCTTCCCCTTCGTAAAACGTCTTTGGCAATCTCTCGCCACTTCCATTACAGCCAATCGGATTTCTTTCCTCTGCTTTTTTTTAATTTAACTCAAATGAACGACGATCTCAGTTTCTACTTTTCTGCAGGATTTCAGAAAAATGCACAATTAATTTTTTTTTTTTTGAAAAAGAAACTTTTTTTAAATACAAAAATTAATTTCATCCAATCAAGAAATTAATGGATTTAAAGATGAGTGTTTTCTTCTAATATTTGTAATTTAAAATTTTGAAATGACAAATTAAATCAAAATTTGAGATTTTAAAATCTATGTTAATAATCATTGTATTCCGGTATTCTGTTCGCAGTTTGAAGTTACACGGAGAGAGAATATATATTAAATTTTGTAAAAATATTTTCAAATTGGGGAAAAAGTGCGACAAAGCGAAATTTTGATATCAAAAAATACTAAACTTTAAAAAAACTTATATGAAATTTAGTAAAGTTATATTAGAATTTAATTAATATTCTTGATATTTGATATAATTATACTAAATTTCACATAAGTTTTTTTAAAGTTTAGTATTTTTTGATATCAAAATTTCGCTTTGTCGCACTTTTTCCCCAATTTGAAAATATTTTTACAAAATTTAATATATATTCTCTCTCCGTGTAGTTGTTGATTGCTTTTTTGTTTCTTAAGTTTTTTAAAAAATTTTCTTTTTAAATAATTATTTTTAATTTTAAAATTAATGTTTTGAAAACCATTGAATACTTGAATCAAAAAAAAATTTTTAATTCTTAAAAAACCTAATTAAATTCTTTTGAAGAATTTCTTTGAATTTTTTTTTAAATAATGGAGTTTCTTTAATAATTTTAATTGAAAATTTTGAAAGCAATTGAATTTTATAAAGAAGAATTTTATTATTTATAAAAATAATTTAATTCTTGCGAAGAATTTTACTATTTATAAAAATAATTGAATTGTTCCGAAGAATTTATTAAAATTTTAGTTAGGTATGTTTTTAGGACCTTAATTTTTGTCAAATACTGTTTTTTGATTGTGGCCTTGGGTCAAAAATAATTACGAAAGGTGTTTAATTTCTTATAGAATTATTTTTTTATTCCATTGACGAATGCATTTTCGCTGTGAACGAATGCATTTTCAAAAAACAGTATTAAAATTTTAGGAAATAGATGAATTTTATGTAAATATTTGAAAATAATTAAATTCTTTCGTGTAATTTTATTTAAATTGGATTAAAAATAATTTAATTTCTGCAAAGAATTTTACTTTTTATAAAAATAGTTGAAATGATTGAAGAATTTATTAAAATTTTAGTAAAAATTGAATTGTTTTGAAGAATTTTATAGAAATATTTAAAAATAATTAAATTCTTTTGAGAAATTCAATTAAAGTTGTTTCGAAAATAATTAAATTGTTTCAATTTTTTTGACGAATATATTTAAAAATTGCATTGAAAGTAATTTAATTTTCATATAGAATTTTTTGAAAATAATTAAATTCTTTCGTATAATTTTATTTAAATTGGATTAAAAATAATTTAATACCTGCAAAGAATTTTTTTAGTTTTTATAAAAATAGTTGAATTATTTCGAAGAATTTATTTAAATTTTAGGAAGGAATTGAATTTTATGGAAATATTTGAAAATATTTTAATTCTGCTGAGGAATTCAATTAAAATTGTTTTGAAAATAATTGAATTCCTGCAAAGAATTTTACTATTTATAAAAATAATTGAATTCTTGCGAAGAATTTTACTATTTATAAAAATAATTGAATTTTTGCAAAAAATTTTACAATTTATAAAAATAATTGAATTTTTGGTAAGAATTATATTAAAAGTTTTGAAATTATAAGCAATAATAATTAATTTTGTACTTAATCAGTGAATTTTAAAAATTTTGATTATTTATGAAATTATTTTAAAATTTATATTTGAAAATGTAGTGGAAAATAATTTACAACAGGGGGAGAAAAATTTCCTGATTTTGTAAATTTTGTTCCAAAACAAAACTTTATTAACTAGCAGTTATCATATTAATTAAATTGTGTAATTAATTGCAATTACCTATATGTAAACTTTTGTCAATTAATCAACGTTTACCTTAAGTTGAATAGAAAAACAATATTTAAAATTAATATTTATTTAATCGACTGTGATCGACGTTTATTTGAGTGATTCTAATTTTATTTCTTAGGTGCTTTCTTGTAGTCGTGTTTAATTGATTGATTCTTTCAAGAGGTTCTTCATTTCTCTCATCTGTTTGATATTCTGCCGTACAAACTTAGCTTCTAATTTCAAAAAACCAAAAAAAAAGTATTTTTAAATTTAAATATTAATTTTTAATTTCTTTCTCAGATAGAAAAACACTTTTTGAAAAAGAGAATAAACACTAAGCGGAGAATAAAAACTAAATAAAATTAAAATATTGGAAAGAAAGCTTAAAAGTATTGCAGAAAATCATTGATTGATGAGAAATTCTGATTTATTTTCAGTTATTAAAAAGCGACCAATGGCCAAAAGTTTAATTCTTTCATTTGCGGAACATTTTTCAGATTTTTCATCACACAAAATTGAAAAAAAACAAAAAAAAATTAATTTTATTTCTTTTTTACGTTCTCACAGCTTGATTCCTCGCCGTCTGTGACATCAACGACAATGGGAACATACATTGGATCTCCAAACCACACTTCCAGTTATTCACAGGTTTGAATATTTTTTGAATATCTACTTTTTTAAAATTACCTTTTTTACGTTTTTTAAGGATTTTAATTCTATTTATTACTTTTTTCCAAAGTGGTGATAATTTTTCCCTTCGATTTTAGAAGATGATGCTATAGTCTTTTTTCTTCTTCTCTCTTTTTAGTCTAGAGTGATACTAATTATTTTCTGTTCTTTTAGAATGATACTGCCGATGTTTATCAAAACGTCAGTAGTGATCTCGGTAGTGGAGATGCTGCCTTTTTTAGTGCAACTTCACTTCAAATTGGTTATCGACCTAGAACGCCAACGACAACACAACAATTGACGCCCCAAACGCCAAACACCCCAACAATCACGCTCACAGGTAATTTAGAATAATTAATTGAAAAAATGAAGTTTAATATTCGAACATTAAATTAATAGCTTTTTTGTTTCCAATTTTTTTTTATAATTTTTAATTTTGAATATTTAAAATTTATAATTTTTTATTTATATGTATGTGAGAAAAAATCATTCTTTTATTATTATGATTTTATTTTTATGCCTTGAAGATAAAATAATAGTCAGTTTTTTTGAAAAAAGGTCCGTAAAGTCCGTAATTTTATTGTAAAATCACGAAAAGTTCGTAAATTCTTCAAAATTCAATTATATTCAAAAATTTTAATAAAATTCTTGTCAAAGTTCCCATTATATTCAAAAATTTTCTTCAACTCAATTGATTTTCAATATCTAATATATTAAAAAAAAAATTTAATAAAATTCTACGCAAACATTTAATTATTTTCATAAAATAATAAAAATTTCACAAGAATTCAATATTATTTATGAATTTCTTCACATTAATTCAATTATTTTCATAAATAATAAAACTCATCGCAGGATTTCAATCATTTTTAATACAATTTTAAATTCTATTTAAAACATTTTTTTTGGAAAATTCTTCATAAGAATTCAATTATTTAAAGAAAATGTTATAAAGTTCTTCGTAAGAATTGAATGAGTTTTGATAATTTTAATAAAATTCTTTGTAAGAACTCAATTATTTAAAAAAATGTTAATAAAATTCTTCGTATCAATTCAAATTATTTTAAAAAATTTTGATAAAATTCTTGGAAAAATTTCCATTATGTTCAAAAATTTTTCTCAATTCAATGATTTTCAATATCTACTATTTTTAAAAAAAATGTTATATAAAATTCATAAAATAACAAAAATTTCACAAGAATTCAATACCTATTATTTATAAATTTCTCCACATTAATTCAATTATTTTCATAAATAATAAAATTTTTGCAGGGATTCAATTATTTTTGCAAAAAATAAAATTCTTTTTAGAAATTCAATTATTTTTATAAATAATAAAATTTTCACCGGAATTTAATTATTTTAAAATACAATATTTTCATAAAATTTTCCGAAAAAAATCAATTATTTGAAATAATTATAATAAAATTGTTCACTGAAATTCAATTATTTAAAAAAATAATAGTAAAGCTCTTCGTAAGAATTGAATGAGTTTTGATGATTTTAATCAAATTCGTTGTAAGATTTCAATTATTTAAAAAAGTTTTAATAAAATTCTTCGTATTAATTCAATTACATTAAAAAATTGTGATAACATTCTTGGCAAAAATGTCCATTATTTTCCAAAAATTTTCCTCACATCAGTGATTTTTACTATCTATTTTAATAAAAATTTTCAAAACAGTTCAATTATTTAAAAAAAATTTACTAAAATTCTACGCAAAAATTTAATTATTTTCATAAATAATAGAATTTTTACAGGAATTCAATTATTTTCGTAAATAATAAAATTTGTTGAAATTATTTAAAGTTTTTATTTTCTAATATATACAGAATGTTCAGCTACCTTGAAAACCTTAAAAACCTTGAAAAGTACTTAAATTTTTTTTGCTTCTTGAAAACCTTGAAAACGTCTTGAATTTTATGACAAAATCTTGAAAAATTAAAATTCTTAAAAATGGGATTTATTTTCTTGATGTTTTAAGTTGAATTCTCTTCAATATTTCAATTATTTTTATAAATATAAAAATTCTTCGCCGAAATTCAATTATATTCAGGAATTTTAATAAAATTCATAGCAAAATACAATTATTTTCAAAATTAATAAAACTCTTCGCAGAAATACAATTATTTTCAAACAATCTAAAAAAAATTCTCGTCAACATTTCAATTATCTTTGTAAATAAATAACAATTTAATCTTCGACAAAGTTCAATTATTTTGAGGAATTTTAATAAAATTCATTGCAAAATTCAATTATTTTCGTAAATAATAGTATTCATCACAAGAATTAAAATATTTTCAAATATTTAAAAAAAAATTATGGCAAAATTTCAATTATTTTCAAAAAATTTTCTTACTTTAATGGTTTTAAATATTCTACTATTTTAATAAAATTTCCCGAAAGAATTTAATTACTAAACAAAAGTTTTTAAAAAATTCTACACCATTTTTCAATTATTTAAAAAAACAAATTTTCCATTAATTCAGTTATTTAAAATAGAATTTGCATAATTTTTTTCGCAAAAATCAATCATTTTAAAATTTGCCATTAAATTCTTCGCAGTAATTCAATTATTACCCTAAAAATGGACCTTGAAAACAATTATTTTGGACCTTGAAAACCTTGAAGAGTCCTTGAATTTTTTTTTAAAGAATCGCTGGACACCCTGATACATTTAATTGATGTATTTCCGAATAATCGAAATTTCGTAAAATTGAATTAAAAAACAAGTAGATTTGAAAATTCTCAAAGATCTATATAAGAAATTTTGTAATTTGTATAATAATAAATAATTGAACATTACGTTCCGCGCGCATTTGCTAGTGATAATAATAATAATTGTAAATATTAAAAATTTCCAGATTGTTCGTTGGGTACAGGGGATTTGAGTAATTCCGATTTCACAAAGGACTTAGTGCCATCGATAGTGGAATCATTTAGTCCTGATATATTTAGTACGGATGATTCCCTCAGACAGGATCCACTCAACGCTCTCCGACATGATCTCGATCCACTGGATATTGAAGATCTACAAAGGCTCGCCGATAATTCCGATATGGTTATATCGGATCCATGCGCGGAAGCTCATTTCAGGTTAGAGCATCGTTAATGAGACCAGAGTTTTATATACTCCCGAGTTAATGCGCGATTTATTTTAATCGCAAATCGCATGACTAAAATACTTTAGAATAATATAAATTAAAATCCTTGGTGTTTTGATTTAATCGAGACACTAAGACAATAGGGAACTTTTATCTTCTCCAAAAATACTTCTTTCCAATGATTTTTATTTTTAAATTATTAAAAGATTTTTTTCTTTTAAATAATTGCACAAACTATTTTATTCTAATTTTAATATTTTAATATTTAATAGAATATTAATTTTAATATTTAGACTCATTTTTATATTTAAAAAGATTTTGAAAAAATTGATTTTTAACTATTTTAGGGAAATGTTTTAGTAATAAAAAAAAATTGTGGAATATATTCTTTTTAATGTTCATTTTTATCTGATAAAAAAAACGTGTTTTCTTAAAGTACATTGGAAATGGTATGGATTGAAGAGAAAAAGAAATCCCTCGTGATAAACAAATTGATTGACGATTGAGTACTACAAATCTTTATTACATTTTTTTCATTTTATACTACTTTATAATATTGTAACGTGTATATGATCTCTAAAAAGCACAAAAACAAAAAATGTTTACTGATTTATACATGCTTTTATTGTAAACGCCGGTCATATAGTTATTTGATCTACCATTTTTAGGGTATTTAAAATTAAGATATATTTCATCTTATAAAAAGACGTGAGTCAATCTTTGTGCTCCTTTTATTTAGAAAAAGAGGAGTACACTATCGCATAAAGACATAATCTGAGGAATGAGGGAAATGCCTTTTGAAGGTTGAATTATTGTAGGAAAAAGAGAGCGAAGAGTATAAAAGCAAATTTATTATTAAAAGCGTTATAAACGCTGAGAAAAAAATGTTAGAAATCCTTCTTTTAGTTTGTACAATTTTTCTATCAATAATGTGGCGAAGAATTGTCTCACAATCTTAAAAAAAAAATTTCGGGACCTAAGAAAAAAGAGAAATTGCGTGCTTCGACAGATTTGATAAAAAATGGAAAAAACTTTTTTCATTTTTGAAAAGAAAATTAAAATTTTCTTAATAAAAATTGAAAATACCGTATTTTTGAAAAAAAAAATTAAGAAGACAATTTTAAGAAATATTTAATCAAATTTAATACCAAAAAATCGATACAAAAGAATTTGAGAATTGAACAATTTGAATATTTCGCAAAAATTGACCAAAATCACAAAAAAATAAAATCATTTCGTATAGAAAATCATTCACTTCTTTCGATAATACACGCATTTCTCGAAAATTGTTTAAAAAAAACTTTAATAGTAGAATTAGTAGAATTAATTCAGGAATCCAAGAAAAAAAATAAACGTTTCGAGGGAAACAAATCACAAAAGTCAATAGAGTTCCTGAGATTTTAGTGCGTTTCTAGTGTAATAGCAATTTGTTATAAAAAAAAATTAAAATATAAATATATATAAATATATATTCAAAAGAAAAAAAACACCGATTTCTTCGTCTCTCATCATTGATAATTTGATAATATAATTAAATATTGTCGAAAAAAAATAGAAACTAATAAAAGAACAAAGCATCTAGTTGCGCGCGTATACCCTCCACGATTGTCAATTGTTTTTTGAAAGTAATACGCTCTACTTTATATAATGACTACCAAATAATAAACATAATAATTGATCGTGGAATTTTTTTTAGGATAATCGATAAAAATCTGTATGTGAAAAAGAAAAAAATAAAATAAAACCAACGTTTACATCTGTACGCACTATAATCGTAGCGCTATCTCTTAATCGCTAAAAAAAATTTCTAATCGTAAATAGAGAAGTACTTTAAAAAAAAATCCACAAAAAAATCTCCTTTTATGAAAAAATATATAGTGAAAAAGTTTGAAACATTTTTCATGCGTCGAGTGCACCTGCGACTCTCTCAAGTTTTTAGACTCATCATCGGTCTATATTTTAAATATTCAAATCTGAAAATATTTCTGTCTGGTTGTGTTTCAATTTTTTTTTTTAGCAAAATGCATTTTAATTGAGGGAATGAATGTAAAAAAATATTTCAGAGCTAATCGGTCAATTCTTTACGAAAATGACAATAAGTCTAAATTATTATTATTTTATTTTTCAAGAATTTTAACGAAATTTTAGCAAGAATTCAATTATTTTTATAAATAATAAAATTCTTTGCTGGAATTCAATTATTTTCAATATAATTTGAATTGAACTTTTATTTTCATTTTGAATATAAAATTTCTGAAAAGAATTCAATTATTCTCATAAATAATAAAATTCTTCTCAGGAATTCAGTTATTTTCCAATTTTTAATAAAATTTCTGTAAATTCTTCACATGAATTCAATTATTTTCAAAATTTTACTAAAATTTTTGTGAATAATTGAATTATTTTTATAAATAATAAAATTCTTCGCTGGAATTCAATTATTTTTAATACAATTTAAAATTGATCTTTTATTTTCAATTTGAATATAAAATTTCTAAAAAGAATTCAATTATTCTCATAAGTAATAAAATTCTTCTTATAAATTGAATTATTTTCATAAATATAATAATTATTGGCAGGAATTTAATTTGAATAAAGTTCTTCAGGAAAATTCAATTATTTTTACAAGTAATAAAGTTTTTTACACAACTTTAATTATTTATGAAAAATTTTAATAATTCGTTGCAAGAATTCAATTATTTTTGTAAATAATAAAATTCTTCGCAGTATTTCAATTATTTTTAATAATTTTATTTTAAACGATTCAATAAATTCAAATATGAATAATTTAATTTACAAATTTTAAAATAAAATATGTAGTTCAAAAAAAAAAATTAATATGAATTCAAAAAATTAATTAGAATTTTTCCAAATTGACTGCTTTTGTGTTGGAAATATTTTTTAAACCTCTTTTTTTATAATTCGCTATTTGATTGTAAATTGTTGTTTCTTCGACGTTTTTGTTCATTATATTGAAGATTCGAGCGATTTTCAAATTTATCTTCATAGGAATCTCTCGAGAATCAAGACTTGTAAGAATGAAATTCTAAATCATCGACCAGTGCGAATCTAGCTTCATTTGTTTTTTTTTTCTTAATTTGTAATAAGGGGAAAAATTACTAAGAGTAATTTAGAAAAAAGAACAACTGTTTTTACACTAAGAAATACTTTTTTGTAAAAAAAATATCATTTAGAACAGAATAAACTATTAAATAATAGTTTAGTAGAATGTAGAAGTGATGGAGACGAAATGATATTTTTTGTTGCGCATAATATATTGTTTATTGAACTGTTAAGTGTTTATGAATTTCATGATCCTTGATAATATGTGGATACTGAGAAAAGAAAATTCAAATAAGTACCAAAATGGAAATGGCTGGTGTGCCATAAAAATAATTAGAATATAGAGAACGATTTTTAAATAACCGAATTGTCATCTGATTGAACTTTAGTCCGATTTCTTCTGTAAAATCTTTTTGCAATATTTTTTACAATATGTTTTACAAAATTAATTTTTTTTTCTAGAAATTTCTATTCTCTTTTCTAGTTCTACATTTCGATTTTCTAAGTTTTTAAATTTTATTAAGAACATTTTTTCTTTTTAATAAAAATTATTATATAAGTATATAATAAATTTGATATTAATATTCAGAAAATTATTTTTCAAAAATAAAAATTAAATGACAATTCGGTCAAATACAACTTCAGTCAAATATTTACCAAAATTGATCCTAGTAATTATATTTAAATAAAAAGGTTTAGTTTTTTTTTTCTTGACAAATTCTGGCAAATGTATTTGAAGAATTTTTCTACGCCTCGAAATTCTCTTTTTCGAATTATTATTATTATTATTTGGGCAACGAAAAAAGAGATTTATTTTTAATGTATATTTTTTTTCAAATGAGCCGATGCATTTCTCGATTTTTTTTCTACAAAAAAAAAAGGAAACAAAAAGCATTTAAAAAGGTGCCAAAGCGCATAGCTGTCTATTGTAGATTAATTAAGACGTGCTATCGATTCGTATAGTCGTGCAATAATTAAATAATTATATTTAAAAAAATATATATGTATCGGTTGATACAATTCGTATGGCGCTTCGATATAATATTGATTAAAAGTTGGAATGTCAATTTAAATATATAAAAGCAACTGACTGAGTCGCAGTGCCCACAGATTTAAGAGAGAAAGATAATGAATGAATTTTATGACCTATTATATATATTCATAAAAATATATATTTAAAAGACAATTTGATTGTAAAGAAAACGACAGGTTTTTTTTACCGTAGTACTTAAATAATATTATTAATAATACGACTTTTATGAAATGTTGACTCGATTAAAAGGGAATGTTTTGCAGGAACTCACAGGTTCTGGTGACTGAAATAGCGATGCTTTTTCTTTTAAATCCATTAAAAAAATTTTTTTTTCTAGAAATTTTGTTTTTAGCAAAAAAAAATCTATTTTTCTGGACATAAGAAATTTGAAGATTTTTCAAAAAAGAAATTTAGATTTCTAATATTATTTTCTCTCTTTTTTTTGTCCTTTCAAATAATATATATACATAAATTTTGTTTTATGGTTTATTTTTAGTCTTTTCGAAAACTTAAAATTTTATCTGTAAAAAATTGTTTTTTAACTTGATATAGTTTTTAGTTAATTGTTAATTTGTGTAATAATGTTTTTTTTTAATTTTTAAATAAGTGTGTTGATTTTTTTTTTATAGGGGATTGTTAAAAATTTTATTTTTCAAACTTGCCTTGCTTTTTTCTTTGCATAATAAAAAATGTGCAATAAAATTTGAAATTTACATTAATAGGATTGATAAAATTTTAGATTTGAATAAAATTATTTTAAATTTATTGTTCTTCTTAGTTTTGAATTGAAAAATCTTTTTTTTGATGACACCGAAGCTGCAAGTTGCTGAACGTATGAGATTACAATTGTTAACTTCTTAGAATTTGTTGTGTAAACTCTCAAATTAATTAAATATTTGCCTGAATAATAATTAAAAAAAAAAGAAAAAAAAGTGTGAGTGAATTCAAATTG